CTGAGCCATGCCTGGCCACCATTCTTATCATCAGCACTGTGGCTCTGAGGGCAAGATGCTCAGGCCCAAGGCACTCTGAGTCCACCCGCCACAACCTGACAGCTGGACTCCTCCTCCCTTAGAAGGCTCAGGTGCCTGGAACACGTGGGCAGCGTCACTCCCTCTGAGAATTAAATGAAGCCAGGTTCCCCAGGGCGGCTTTTCATCACTAGCGCCACTCAGATTCACATGTGGATACCCAATGAGTTGCACTGATCGTCGACTAGCAAAAATGGAAATGTGAAAAGCTAAGACGAAAGGGAGAAAAATAACCCCTGCTAACCCAAGTCAGCTATTAGAAGGAACCAGTGAAGTCAATCCTGGCTTCTTAAAAGTCTGTACCTCCAGCCATGTGGCACTTAATATAAGTGATGAGTATGCATACCCCCAGTCCTGTGCACAAATGTGGCCACGGCATAGCCTTCGTCCCCTGCCACAAGCTCATAGTCAGATCTATATCTTTTTTTAGTTTTAAGCCCTCGCTGAGCAATTACTGTGCACTGAGTGCTCCCTGCACATTCCCTCATTTAATCCTCGTGAAAAATCCTAGGAGTGAGCGCCATTATTATTCACCTTCTACAGGTGAGGACACTGCATCTCAAGAAAGAGTAAGGATTGGATAGAAAGGAAGTGGCAGAGCTTCCTCAGTTAACCAGACAAGACCACCTTTCAGCATTCCCAAGGGAACCTGGTAACCCCTGGAAATCCCAGGGGAAATCCCGGAAGTGGCTGCAGAGTTATACAGCAGAGAGCGCGTCAGACGCTGAGGCCTCTTCATGAGATAGTGAGGAGGAAGAAAACGCCTGGACTGTAGTGGGTAAGAGGCCCCATTCGTCTGTTGAAAAAAAATCTCTGATCAGGCCTGCCCTGTGGCCTCAGGGGTTAAGGGAGCTGGATCCCACATGGCCAATCATGGTTCAAATCCTGGCCCCACCAAACACGTGTGCATAGGTGCCCCAAATCCTGATGAGATGGAGAAAAGGAGAAAAAAGGATTGCAGTGTGACCATGGCCCACTGGGAAGTACCTTCTCTCTGGCAAGTTCACAGACCCTTTGACAACAACAACAAAAAGATAAAAACTGCCACTATTTAATCTAGTGATGCTGAAGAAATGCCAGTCATATTAAAAGCTAAGTCCACACTTTTATTAACCCTTGATTAATCACAATTCTTTTTTTGGAGAGGTTTTTGTTATAGGGCACGTGCACTCGCCAGGAAGACAGACAGAGCACATTCGATCTCTCCCTGCGATGTATCACTTCCCCGGGTGTTTTAAGTGTTCTACTTCACCAGCCCTGCCTCTCCAAGGGGAGCCCGCACAAATTGAAGATGACATTGGACTTCTATGTCTTTCTCATCCCAGAGAGGCGGCGAGAGCTTCAGATAAATGTCAAGGCTCCTCTATTACTGTTCTTCCACCAGTGGAAACCACAGCTGGACCCTGACAGGCCAAACCATTTACTAATGAAATAAGCTTTCTCAGCTCTGTGACCCCCATGAATTCTCATCTGTCGATTTCCTTTGAAAGCCTATGCTCCCTCGGAGACCACGGCACAAAAATGATGACTTGTTTGCAGGCGCTCACACTAACTAGGGATTGGGGAGCTAAAACCGATCCCTTGAGAGGAGCGAATGCAAGAACATGACATGGACGTGCTCTAGGACTGCACTTTTGCCCCCAAACAGGTAATACACTGAGCCATGCCTGGCCACCATTCTTATCATCAGCACTGTGGCTCTGAGGGCAAGATGCTCAGGCCCAAGGCACTCTGAGTCCACCCGCCACAACCTGACAGCTGGACTCCTCCTCCCTTAGAAGGCTCAGGTGCCTGGAACACGTGGGCAGCGTCACTCCCTCTGAGAATTAAATGAAGCCAGGTTCCCCAGGGCGGCTTTTCATCACTAGCGCCACTCAGATTCACATGTGGATACCCAATGAGTTGCACTGATCGTCGACTAGCAAAAATGGAAATGTGAAAAGCTAAGACGAAAGGGAGAAAAATAACCCCTGCTAACCCAAGTCAGCTATTAGAAGGAACCAGTGAAGTCAATCCTGGCTTCTTAAAAGTCTGTACCTCCAGCCATGTGGCACTTAATATAAGTGATGAGTATGCATACCCCCAGTCCTGTGCACAAATGTGGCCACGGCATAGCCTTCGTCCCCTGCCACAAGCTCATAGTCAGATCTGTATCTTTTTTTAGTTTTAAGCCCTCGCTGAGCAATTACTGTGCACTGAGTGCTCCCTGCACATTCCCTCATTTAATCCTCGTGAAAAATCCTAGGAGTGAGCGCCATTATTATTCACCTTCTACAGGTGAGGACACTGCATCTCAAGAAAGAGTAAGGATTGGATAGAAAGGAAGTGGCAGAGCTTCCTCAGTTAACCAGACAAGACCACCTTTCAGCATTCCCAAGGGAACCTGGTAACCCCTGGAAATCCCAGGGGAAATCCCTGAAGTGGCTGCAGAGTTATACAGCAGAGAGCGCATCAGACGCTGAGGCCTCTTCATGAGATAGTGAGGAGGAAGAAAACGCCTGGACTGTAGTGGGTAAGAGGCCCCATTCGTCTGTTGAAAAAAAATCTCTGATCAGGCCTGCCCTGTGGCCTCAGGGGTTAAGGGAGCTGGATCCCACATGGCCAATCATGGTTCAAATCCTGGCCCCACCAAGCACGTGTGCATAGGTGCCCCAAATCCTGATGAGATGGAGAAAAGGAGAAAAAAGGATTGCAGTGTGACCATGGCCCACTGGGAAGTACCTTCTCTCTGGCAAGTTCACAGACCCTTTGACAACAACAACAAAAAGATAAAAACTGCCACTATTTAATCTAGTGATGCTGAAGAAATGCCAGTCATATTAAAAGCTAAGTCCACACTTTTATTAACCCTTGATTAATCACAATTCTTTTTTTGGAGAGGTTTTTGCTATAGGGCACGTGCACTCGCCAGGAAGACAGAGAAAGACAGAGATAGAAAGCGAGAAATCACTCTCAGAAGGGATTGCCACGCCGCAATCCCTTCTCCTCCCACTCTCCTCTCAGGATCTTGGGCATGCACGCACACGTGCCCAGCCTGAGTTTAAGCCACCGGGTCCAACCCTCAAACCGCGGTCGACTACGTGCGAGCCGAGCGGCCCAGCCATTATGCTAACTGCTGGTCCCAATTAATCACAATTCTTGATTAACTGGAACCTGCCAACTCATTTTGAAAACAAGTTCACATCAAGACATTACAGTGAATGAATGGGGATCAGCAGGTGGCATGGTGGTTAAGGACACTGGACTCCCACATGGCTGGCCGTGGTTCAAGTCCCAGACCTGGCGGTTTGCTTTCTTACTTTCTCTCTCTCTCACTCTGTCCTTCTCTGGTCAAATTTAACTAATAAATAAATAAATAAAGTTAAATAAAAATAATTCTTACATAAAATAAAATGAATGAATGAATGAATACGCCCATCTACGTCCTAGGAGCAGTATAAATTTACCTAAAAAGGAAACTTCATTTGTCTATAATAACAGCTCAGTGAGAACTGATGGTCAAAATCAGGACCTGAAGGAGTTACACATTCTGTATCGTGATGGAAAGGAGGAAGCTATATTCATGTGGAACAGTCGGATAATACATAAGGCAACACCTGATAGCACAGGTTGAAACAAACACGGGATTTTTCTGCTTGCCCCAGCGTTCACCACAAAGTTCAGTAAACCAAGCTGGATCCATCCAGGGTGCCCTGCATGCCAGGGGTCACTCCTTGAGCAGATGGCCCACCTGGCCTGTCCATGCCATACTGCTCAGAGCATGCACTTCTCAGTGTTGGGCGCCAAGGCCAACGTGGGCTATGAACGCTGCAGAAACAGGTGACTGCTAAATACAAGTGGCACATACGACTCAGGGTTCGCACCATAGCTTCTGGGGCCCACAGATTCCTCTTTTTTGAGGATGTTGATAACTATCTTCTCTTGCTGGAATAACGACCACAGGTGGGATCTATCTTGCACCAGATCTCCTCTGCGTAGAAAGCTCTCAGTGAGTACAAGCAGCGGTCAGGGCCCCGAGGACACATTCTATGCTGTCACATGGTGTTGGCATGGGTACTACGGAGAATTAGGTGAGGAGCAAACAGAGGCAGGGTGTCATTTTATTATTGGACATAATAAATTTTATCCACTGCCGAGGAATGCTGGCAGGATGGTGAACTGCTGCAGGAGAAAAGCAGCGAAAGTGTTCGATCAATTCCCTGCACCTCCCTGATGGCTCGCCTCTGGGGTGGAGCGACTGTACTGTTCCGATGGAAGTTCACTCTGGCCACGTCTCTGCTCCAGACTGTGCAGAAGCTGAAGCGGAGGTGGCCGAGCACTGATAGGACAGTCAGTCCACTTGGACTGACTTAGAAATCAGACCCCTGCACTCTGTGTGGCTTGACTTGAAAAGAAAAGGGGTGTGCACAGGAAGGGGGGGCACGTTCCAAAGGAAAACGAGCAACGTGGGCAACCCCTGCGTTCTGTGCCTAGACCATGGGCCGTCAGAGGTTATAACCATGTGAACGGTCTTCATCCTGAGTTAGAGACACCAGTTTACCATTTTCAAAGCACTCCATTACCCATGTCCATGCTAGGGTTCTTGATCTAAGGCGTACACCACCAAGACAAAGGACTTTCAGACACACCTGACTGGACAAGAAGCCATGACCATCCCCAGCCCGACGATGACACAAGATGGGACGGATGGCCAGTCCTGTGGCCCCGACATGCTATTCAGAGCGAGACAGCCTGTTGGGGCCTTGGAGGCTGGTCTGGCCCTACAAGGGCAGACGCCTGCTCTCAATCTCAAAGCATGCTGCGGCCAGTTCCCAGGCGCCACCTGCCCTCAGGAGGGCTCAGCATGGCCCGAGGACAGAGACAAGCAAGCTCATGCATGGTTAGTACCACAGAGGGCGGGCCCATCACCACATTCAGAGTACCTGGGAACAACCTACTTTGAGGGCTCAAATGCAGATAGGTCTTCTGCCTTGGGCTTGAGGCTAAACCAGCAAAATAAAATGAAGAAAAACAAAAACAGACCCTGTGATATCAACAATGCCACATGTGCCATTTGCAAAATGCTCAGACAGGCTTGGATTGTGAGGAGTGACTTCGCTTGCTTGTTTGTAATGGCTTGGAAACTGGTCTCTCCAGCTTTCAGCACTCCAGGTGCCCATGGCTGAGGGCCAGCCCTGCAGCGGCAGAGGGAAGCAAAGATGAGACTGCTCCTGGTGCCCGGATGACAAGGTGGGACGTGAGCAGGTGAGGTCGGGGGTCTAGGGCAGCTCATTCAAGGGCTGACTGGCTCGCTGGCCCCGTCATCATTTTACCTCTTTGCTTAATAGCGAGGCCTCCCTTGAATTCCCCTTTTGCTGTTTGATCATTTTGTTTTTGGAGGGAAACTCGGTGGATTACAAAAGCCAGAGGAAAGGAGGAATGTGCAGGTAAGAATAGATGCCTTCCCTTCCAGGCTGCTATTAAAAGGATTCTCTGCCCAGTGCCAACTGTAGCTGGAGTCAAGCGACAGAAGCTGGGGCTCCCGACTGTCCCCATCAGTGATGGCTGGCAGATACAGGTCTCCCCGAGTGTTCAGACACAGCTTAACCACTGAAAACAGGTCCAGTCCTTAAGCTGGGAGACCACTGTAGTGAGTAAGGTGAGGAAAACATGAACCTTAGCAGTCATCATCCAAACTCCATGAACACTCATATCTGTGTAACGTGATCTCATAGGTGTTAACCCGATCCTGGGCTATTTGTTCAGAGCAGATTAGTATGGAATTTAACTTCTAAATCTCTAAAACGCTGAAAGCTCAGAGTACCAGTGGAGAAAGACAGGAGCCGGTGAGCAACAGAAATGAAGTCCCATCTCTCACAACATTAAGGTCCTCCTCGATAACTTCCTTTTAGGTCTGACAAAACCTTACACATTCAGAATTCGGCTTCTAAATTGAGAACAGAATTTTACAGTCCTTGCCACTTAAAAACACAAAGACACTGGCGGGTGAGTCCATTCCCAGCCTCCATTTCATTTTACTTTCTCATTAAGCAAGGCAGCTCCCTATATGTAACTCCGCTTGGCTTAAAAAACAGAACTGCTTTGCTGCTAAATGATGGATCAAAACCCTTCCCGTGACAAGGGATTCATTTCATCGGAGCTTTTAACACGAGCCCCACTTCCATCAAGCCAATGGGTTCATAGTCATTGGCAGATTAAATTCCCTTCCTGGCACGAGTCAAAAAATTCCTTCAACTAAGTACATATAAAAAATGACAACCGTCTTAATGCCTTGACTGCAGAGGAGACCAGATGCCAGCCTCACATTTCATTAATGATCGTCCTGATCAGCAAAAGGCAAGGGACTCTGGGTACCTTCTTAATGGTATTGTGCTTGCTGCTGCCACCCCGGTCGGCGTTCTCATTGTGCAGAATATCCAAAGCCGTCTCCCTCTCTTTCAGTTTCAAGGCCTCGATCTCTGTCTTGAGTTCATTGAGCTGCTCCTGCAGATGCTTGCTTTTCTCCATGTATTCAACTCTGCCGGCAAGAGGAGGAGACAGGGTTTGAGGCTGGGCTGACATGCTCCGTGACCCGTGAGCTATGTGGCCTGGGATCCAAGGTCTGAGGCCCGGGGTTCATGTCTCTATTTGGCCACTTGTGGCCGTAGGAGTTTGGGTTGCTCACTGGACTATCAATCTCTTTCTCCTTTGGTAATATTGGAATAATGATCACAGGGGTGTGCCCAGGATACAATAAAATAAAGTATAAGGCTAGTAGGTGGCATAGTGGTTACGTCACTGGACTCCCACATGGTCCCCTATGGTTCGAGTCCCGGACTTGGTGGCTTGAAACTCACGCCGGGTTCGTGTGCATGCATGCCCGAGATCTTGGGAGGAGAATGGAGGAGAAGGGATTGCAGCATGGCCATCCCCCCTGGGGGTGATTTCTCACTTTCCCTCTCACCATCTCTGTCTGTTTTTCCCTCTCTCCAGAGAGCACACACATCCTATGGCAAAACTTCTTAAGAAAAAGAAAAAAGAAAGTGCAGGAAAGTCCTCTGTAAACTCATGGAGTGCTCCACAAATACCAGCCATCCTAGATAGTATGCAGTTCTGTACAAATAACCCGGGAGACAAGCCTCCTGGCACCAAAACAATCTTCCTGTCTCAACTCTTCTTAGAGTGGCAATTCAAGTGCCTTTTTTTTTTTTTTAAGGTTTTAACCATAGGGCGCAGTGGCAATTCAAGTGCCTTTTTTTTTTTTTTTTAAAGGTTTTAACCATAGGGTATATGTGTTTGCCTAAGAGAGACAGTAAGAAATCACCTCTCAGGGGGATGGCCACACCAAAGTCTCTTCTCTTCCATTCTCCTGGAATTTTTGGGCACAGTGCCCACACACCTAGTGTGACTTTCAAGCTGCCAGGTCTGGGACTCGAATAGTAGTTGGCTAGTGGGAGTCCAGCGCCTTAGCCACTAAGTCACCTTAACCACTAGGACCCCTTTTTAATTTAGGGTGTGTGCGCTCACTGGACAGAGATACTGAAGAGAAAGACAGAAAATAAGAAATCACCCTCCAGTAAGGATAGCCACACCACAATCCATTTTCCCCTCAGGAGTCAAACCATGAAATTAGGCCACATGGGATCCAGTGCTTTAACTACAATGCCACCTGCTGGCCAATCAAGTGACTCTTCTGATGGGCCATGTCTGCACTGTCACTTGTCCTGAGACTGCATCCCTGAAAGATGGCAGAAGCTCACCTAGCCAACATGAGGGAGGAAAAGATCCTCGCTCTCACCTTCGAGGATAAACACTGAGCAACAGTATCCATGACAGTGACAATTTGAAACCACCCCAAAGTGCCCAAGTACAAGGGCATGACCCAGAAAACCATGCAGTGTATATACCAAGGAAAGTTCTCCAAAGACCAGCAGGGCTAGCATGTGGACTCAGGACAAGTCCACAAGTCCATGCCAGCATGGGCCAGGATGAGAAGCAGGTGCTATTTTCTGAATGTGTCTTCCCAAAATTCATATAGTGAAACCGAACCGCCAATATGGAGGATGGGCACCTTTCCTCAAGAAAGAGACTGGTGCCCTTATAAGAAAGGCCCCAGAGCCAGGTGGCATGGTGGTTAAGGAAACTGGATCTCACATGGCCAACAGCACAGTTCTAGAACTAGATCTGGTGGTTTGAAAATCCTACCAGGTGGGTGTGCCCAAAATCCCAACAAGGAGAACGGAGAGAAGAGACTGCAGTACGGTCACCCACCGAGGGGAATGATTTCTCACTTTCCTTCTCTGTCTCTCTCTCCAGCGAGTACACATGCCCTACAGCAATTTAAAAAAGAAATAAATAGGGGCCATGAGGTAGTGTGGTGGTTAAGACACTGGATTCCCACACAGCCGACCACAGTTCAAGCCCTGGACCTGGCAGCTTGAAAATTATGCTGGGCGTGTGTATCTGTGTGCCCAAAATCCCAAGAGGAGAATGAAGAGAAGGGATTGCATTGTGGCCAGGGATTGAAATGTGCAGGGTTGGGGGTGATTTCTCACTTTCTCTCTCTCTCTTTCTCTCTGTCTCGTAAGCTCACATGTCCTATGGCAAAAAACTTAAATAAATAAATATCATTAAAAAAAAGAAAGAACCGCCAATATGGAGGATGGGCACCTTTCCTCAAGAAAGAGACTGGTGCCCTTATAAGAAAGGCCCCAGAGCCAGGTGGCATGGTGGTTAAGGAAACTGGATCTCACATGGCCAACAGCACAGTTCTAGAACTAGATCTGGTGGTTTGAAAATCCTACCAGGTGGGTGTGCCCAAAATCCCAACAAGGAGAACGGAGAGAAGAGACTGCAGTACGGTCACCCACCGAGGGGAATGATTTCTCACTTTCCTTCTCTGTCTCTCTCTCCATCGAGCACACATGCCCTACAGCAATTTAAAAAAGAAATAAATAGGGGCCATGAGGTAGTGTGGTGGTTAAGACACTGGATTCCCACACAGCCGACCACAGTTCAAGCCCTGGACCTGGCAGCTTGAAAATTATGCTGGGCGTGTGTATCTGTGTGCCCAAAATCCCAAGAGGAGAATGAAGAGAAGGGATTGCATTGTGGCCAGGGATTGAAATGTGCAGGGTTGGGGGTGATTTCTCACTTTCTCTCTCTCTCTCTGTCTCTCTCTAGTAAGCTCACATGTCCTATGGCAAAAAACTTAAATAAATAAATATCATTAAAAAAAAGAAAGGCCCCAGGGGAAGTTCTGATTTCTCCCACCATGGGAGCACAGTAAGAAGTACCATCTATAAACTGGAAAGTGGTCCTCACCACACTGTGCGTTTGCTGGTGCTTTGATCTTGAACTTCCTAGGCTCCAGAACTGTAAGAAATACATTTCTCCGTGGGAGTCCAGTGACATGACCATTACGCTATCTGCTGCTCCTGCTTTTTCTCATTTGTAAGCTTCCTAGCCTCTGATATTTTGTTATAGTAGCCTAAATGGACATGGACGATAAGAAAAATACAAATTAAAAAAACAGGATGGGGGCAGCTCCATGGCCTAGTAGTTAAGGGAGCCAGATCTTTCATGGCTGACTGCTTGAAAAATACACGGGATGCCTAAGTGTACATGCCCGAAGTTCCCATAGCATGGAGAAATGGAGGAGGTGAGATTACAGCGTGACCATGTCCCACTGCAAGGGGCTTTCTTCCTCTCCTCCGTCTTTCTCTGGTGACCACATGAATCCTCCAGCGATTTAAAAAGTAACTGGAGAATAAAAAAGGAGGACACAGAACAAGATACAGCCGTACTCAGGTCCCAACCACATAAAAATGCCTATCTGGATAATGGTGAAAGGAACTCGAGTGGCAGATGCCATGCCTTGAGGTTCTAGTTCACAGGCTACTTGGCTGCTCGCCTGAGTGTGAGAGCAACGAGAGAAACCCAGGTTGGACTCAGATGCGGTGCCCAGAGGTTATCCCGAGGATGGAGCACGGGTAAAAGCCCAGTCGCTGCAGAGGCAGACGAGTGAGGGTTTCAGCCCCCCAGTCTCCTCATCGGCTCTGTGGTGCTGTGTAAGTTAGTTCATTAAACTCTCTAAAGCTGTGTTCTCATTTATAAAATGGGAACACTAAACCACCTTTGATGTCAGTTTGATGTTGGTTAGTTAGCAGAAATTAAATGAGACAAAGCTAAAAAGCCCTGACTCATAGGCACTCCGTATGTGGTAGCTGTTATGACTGTTCTCTGTGGCACTCTGAACCTCTCTACCGCCAGCTCTGGGAATTACGGGGCCCCACTTCCCATGCAGATCCACTTCCACTGACCATCAGATGGAGGTGGAGACAGCTGACAAGCTGGCGTGACTGGGCCATGCCGGGGTTCCGCTCAGGGCGCTGCCCAACACGTGGAGCTGGCCCCACCTGGCTGTGGCTTTCCTCAGTTTCTTCTCTCTCCCTTCTGTTCTAGACATGGGAACCGCAGCGGATCCCAGCCCTGGGGAACACGATTATGACAGCTGCGGGCTGGTAGCATGTGAGCGGCAGTCTGACCGACTTGGAGACCCTGACAACCACGTCCTTTGCTTTAGGTGAGGCTTTGAGCCACTGTCAACTTCAGGTCACAAGTCAAGTGGTATTTTTATCCTGGAAAATTGAATGCTGACCTGTTGTCCTGAATTTCCTAGTAGGAAATCTTCCCTTTGGTGGGTGAGAACAGAGCAAACCTCTGCGGGAATTAGTGACAGGTCGCTGTGAGCACCCTCGGCTCCCCCCAGCCAGACCCACTCTCTGTAGTTCACGGCTGCCCAGAGCAGGGCGCAGGGGTACGTACTTTTCTTTCTCTATCTCCATGGAAAGCCGCTTCATGTCAGTATCCTTGAAGTCGAAAGACAGGCTGTCACCAATGAGGTTGAAGCTTGGTGGTATGTCAGGAGGCAGCGGAGCTGGAATTGGGTTCATGGGCTGTTAATTAGAAATCTTGGATTAGAAGGTGCGGGTCATATGGGAACAGAGGGGCACTGCTGTGCCAGTGGCCGACTACCAGCAGCCACAGAGGCCAATGTCACAATGTGGGCCCTGCCCCCCTCTGCCCCACCCAGACCTCCATCACCTTTCTTCAACCACAGGAACGGTCACAAAGACCACAACTCCAGGCAAATCATCCCTCTCCCCTCAAATCTTTAACTGTTTGCAAGCTCACTTGAATCAAATATAAGCTCCCACTTTTTTTTTTTTTTTTTAGTTTGCAGTGGGGTATATGCACACGCCAGAGAGAGAGAGAAAGCAAGAGAAAGACAGAGGGAAAGTGAAGAATCACTCCCCTGGGGGGAATGGCCACATTGCAGTCCCTTCTCCTCCAGTCTCCTCTTGGGATTTTGGACATGCATGCACACACACCTGGCACGTTTTTCAAGCCACTGGATCCAGGACTGAAACCATGCTGTCACCCATGTGGGATTTGGCTACCCCAACTACCACGCCACTGGCTGGGCCGCCC